TGCCCCACCCCTTCAAAACCCTCAGATTGTTTTTCAGAGTCCATAGTCTCTCATGGTTCATTTCCCCTTCCAATTTCCCTTAACTCCCTTCTCCTCTCCATCTCCTCATTTCCTTCCTCCGTGTTATTTCTTATGCTCCACAAATAAGTGAAACCATATGATAATTGATTCTCTCTGCTTGACCTATTTCACTCAGCATAATCTCTTCCAGTCCCGTCCATGTTGATACAAAAGTTGGGTATTCATCCTTTCTAATGGAGGCATAATACTCCATAGTGTATATGGACCACATCTTCCTTATCCATTCATTCACTGAAGGGCATCTTGGCTCTTTCCACAGTTTGGTGACCGTGGCCATTGCTGCTATGAACACTGGGGTACAGATGGCCCTTCTTTTCATTCCATCTGTACCTTTGGGGTAAATACCCAGTAGTGCAATTGCAGGGTCATAGGGAAGCTCTATTTTTAATTTCTTGAGGAATCTCCACACTGTTCTCCAAATTGGCTTCACCAACTTGCTTTCCCACCAACAGTGTAAGAGGGTTCCTCTTTCTGCACATCCTCTCCAACACATGTTGTTTCCTGTCTTGCTAATTTTGGCCATTCTAACTAGTGTAAGGTGGTATCTCAGTGTGGTTTTAATTTGAATCTCCCTGATGGCTAGTGAGCATCTAGGTGGTGGCTCCTGTGAGGGGATGGGAGCCTAGGCAGCCAGCAGAACCACAGCCATTTGCACTCTCCATGCGTACGCCTTGCTACCAGTCTAAGTCGCACCCCACATACTCCTCTATTTCTTTCTTTCTTTCTTTCTTTCTTTCTTTCTTTCTTTCTTTCTTTCTTTTTCTTTCTTTCTCTCCTTCCTTCCTTCACTCCCTCCCTCCTTCTTTCATTCCTTCCTTCCCTCTCTACTCCTTCATCCTTCCTCCCTTCCTTCCTTCCTTTCCACTTTTTATTCTTTCCTTCTTTCTTTCTTTCTTCACCACAATGGTGTAATCCCAGAACTCAAGACAATTTCCTATTCATGATGGCTTGCATGGAACCCCGATCTGTTGCCTGTGCTGCCACGTGGAATGACTGTGCCACCACAAAAAAATCATTAAAAAAACACAAAAACAAAAAAGTAAGAAAACAAACAAACAAAAAACCCACTGGACAAGCTACTGTCTTCTCACTAGCACTGAGGACAGAAACTGTATTTCTTACTGATGCAACTTCCTACTCAATAGGCCTCTGTGGTGGGACACTCAGTCTGCCTTCCCGAGCCCGCAGTAACTATCAGGAAAGACAGAGAGTCCTGGTTGGAAGGCAAGTGGGAGGTGGACTGACACGAATTGCCAGCTGACAATCATCAGGAAGGGATGGGGGACAATGGTTTAGACCACAGCTACCTCCTGGGGGCCGCCTGTCTTCATTGGTCACCTCTAGTTTCCTGTAATGCCTTTCTTACTTTCAGACCCAAAGTCTGATGGTTCTTACAGATTCACGGCTCCCTGGATAGGTAAGTATATTTAACAAGGACTATGGTTCACCTTCTGCTTAGGTTGCCAACAAATGTCCATTTGGCCCAGACAAATATGAGGTGACCAGCACCATAGTCACTCCACTCAACTCTGAATTGAGCTTCCTTTCTCTTCTTCAGATAAAAACCTCACCCCTTCCTAATGGTTGGGGAGCCCTACTGCAGCTCAGTTTCTCCTACATCACTTCTCAGTCCTCCGTAATGATCTCAGATTAACTTTTCATTCAAGTCCTCCATTAACCCAGTGCTGCCCTGTTTCAACCTCAATCTCACAGCTGTGCACCAAGCTTTGGGAAGCCCCCTTCCTGACATGTACTGTCCTTTCCTGCCTTGCCCAGGATGCCCTTCTTCTGACACCCTGGGTTCTTCCCCAGTTGTCCCCAGACAACTCTTGAGAGGTTCCTTCCCCCCACACACACCCATTGTGGTCCAGGGTATGGTTTGCTCCTGTTGAATGGGCCGACGTGGTTCCAGCACCAGAGAATGCTGACCCCAGCCTTCCACTGTGACATCCTGAAGCCCTATGTGGGTCTCATGGCTGACTCTGTCCAAGTGATGCTGGTAAGTTGAACCCCTGCTCACCTGCACACTCACACCCCCAGTAGAGTTCACAAAGTCCACTCTCAGACAGCTGTGTCCCTCAGACATCCATTAGACACGGCCCCCAGAATCACAACTTATACCATACTATGAGACAGGGCCCCCTGAGCATGGATGGAACGAGAAAGCATCCGGGCACCTGTTTTCATCCACTCTTTGCTCACTGCCCACAGGAGAGACAGTCATGGTGGATAAAGGGTCTCTTCTTGTCC